GAAAAGAGGGAGGATAGGTCAGAAGACCGCCTAGAATCCCGACTAGCAAAGCTAGAATGAAGAAAACCCAACTACACTAAACAACAACTAGAAAAAACCCCAACAGGGTAATACTCGGGTGTCGGATCCTAATAGGATAATAGAGTTGACACCGGGCGAAAATATTTGAGTTACTTATTTGAAATTTAAAAAATCTTTAAAATGATGCAGGTATTAAATTTAAGTTTAAATATGTTTTATAAAATCATAAATTATTACATATTACCAGACTTGTTTTAAGTTTGGTAAATTTTAATGAGACTTTTGATGACGAGCAATAACCAACGATTGTGATTTGGATTAAGGGAGGATGGATTATAATTGAAGGAAGGACCGATATGCTTTATGTGGGTGCTAGACAAACTACTACGCAAGATAGTGAAATAATAATGAACACACGATGTCGCGGATCTATTGAGAGATCAACGAGAAGAAAACTTCTCTGAATGTGAGACTAGAAAAAGATATATCTTGTTACAGTAGTGGTTATATGTTGAGCTATTATATGTTTGTATTCTGTTATATTGTCATGGTATGTGTGTTGCTAGTGTTTGTTTGTGTATGTGTATATCGCTCTCTCTATTTTCCTTCCCTGCCTATTAAAATGGGCGTCGAGGGTCACCTTTATACAACAAAAAAAAAAAAAGATGAAATGTAATTATGGCTACTTGATTAGCTAAGCGAAGGGCGCATGGTGCCATGCAGAAATTCGCTTTTCAGGATAGGATGTATATTCTTCAGACCTACAAGACGTGACCGGTTTGGGCGGCTAAACATAACCTTTTAGGTGGTGGTTTTTTTCGTCTTGAGCGGCTTTACGAGTTTGATATGTCAGAAGGTGTTCACATGTTGCAGAGTGATCAGCAGTCGGAGGATCAACACTTTACGAGTTTGATATGTCAGAAGGTGTTCACATGGATCGTGTTATCTTCTTAATCGTGTCGGCCTTTAGGAGACGTTTTCATAAAATACACAACAGGGGGCACCAGATTTCCAGATTATCGACGGGATGATAATATAAAAAAGGGACCTGGGAAGTTGCTTGCAATCTTTTGTTAATCTTTAAAAGTTGACTGATTCGGATTGAAAGTGAGCGTTCTCAGAATGCGATCGCATAGAAAGATTGACTTTATTCGAGGCATTTTAAAAAGAGAAAACACATCTTCTTTTATGGGACATGTGGCACCTTCTGAGGATGAAGACGTGTATACCTTCTCGATAACCGATGCCCATAGCTCAGTATTGAAGGTTACTCTCGTGGACTATAAATAACGGTGCTTTTCGTTCTTTTCTTATATTTCTTGCTTGTAAATTTTTGAAACGAGATCTTCAAAATTTATGAGAATATAATTTTTTTTGCAGCTATTCAAAATGTCTTAAAGTAGCCATGACTTTGACATGAAAACGGTAGAAGCATTGCTAAGGGGTAATCGGACAGGTCAGATAAGAGAGTCGATTTCTATTATGAGCGCGATCCAGAAGAAGGAGGCACGGATCGAGGAAGAATCAGTTAAGATGACGCCGGAAAGCTTTTGCAGAAGACCACCTCTAGAAGAACTAGAAATATCGAGCAACCTAGATATTTGCAAGATGGTTAGCATTCTGAAAGATACCAATGTGGTTAAGTTGAGGCAAAATCTCGAGGTGCCATCGTCGCTCAAACTTTCTACTCCTACGAGGTTGATCGGATCCATTGTCCTCCACCGGGGTGTGTTGCAAGGCATAGAGAATCAATAATTTATGGTAGGCGGTTCCCATTAACCAAGGTATATTTGTAGAATATATGCGAGAATGACAGATCAGCGTGCCAGATTCATCCAAACACATGGTGTCGATTGTGTTCCCTCATTGTTCTTTTCCACAATAAATGGTGGTCGACCCCATCGATGGAATAACTTGATTCAATCTTGATGTGGAAAACATCCAAGGAAGGATCTGGGAGTTTTCATATGGCATCGAGGGATGAAAAATGCGCGAACTTGATCACCAGTCTCCCTAAATCTCGTCACAAATTGAAACATGAGTGGCTTTGGATATCTGGAAGCTGAAAATCTTTGTGATCTGAAGAAAACTCAGAGATGGATAAAGCTTTTGACATCCCTCTGGTGGAAGAAACACATAAGTGGTTGTGGGGGTAGATTCTCGTGTATGGTTTGAATAATATTTTATCATGATCACCTCTTTATTTTTGTTTATGTACAGCCATAGGGGTGGTGCCACTCTTAACTACAAGATTCAGGGGAAGATTGGACTGTCTTGGGTTTGGACGAATACGATAAACGTTGTAAGCGCCTAACAAAGATCGAAGCATTATCTCTGGTAGGATTACATCCTACAAGGGTTGACACAGCGATCAGACCAGGTATAGGTGTCGATCCACATAATGTTAATATGTTGCAAAGCGTGAATATAGTGATCTCAAGAAATGCTTTCTTTATGTTCAGTATTTTATCTTTATCTGGTGACAAACGTGTTTGGTGCTTCCTCCATCGAAGAGTACAGAGAAATGGAAAGAATCGACAACATGAGGAAGCGTAAAGTCTGATCAATGATCGGAATATATTGTTGGGATTTCTTTATGAAAAGAGCTTTCTATACATATAAGTTTTCACAAATATCCAACAGTCGCTTCTCCAGTGACATTCAAAAAGAATTTACTGCGTCATTTTTAATTTTTTTAAACTCTTAGAACGATTTAACAAAGTTTGAGGTATCGTATGATGAAATGCAACATTCACCAAATATACAATTTTCACACACACACACACACACACACACACACATATATATATATATATATTATTTTTTAATTTGAACATAGAATCCAGTCTAATTTGTTTCTTATTTTTTTTCAATAATTATTAAAGTTATCCATGTGAACATCCTCCGACTTGCGTCTTTTGTGTAGGTAATAAAGTTTTTTTACTTTTGAATGACATTTTTAGAAATATCTTCAAGTTGTTCCTAGTTTATTCATCGGCGAGATTTACATGGAACTCAAACACTAATCCACAATGAGAGTATTCCAAATATTAATAATAATATTTATCGTGACCAAAATATTATGAATCACAGAAAATCAATCTAGTAATTTATTATAATAAATATCAATGAAAATAGTGCATATATTAATAAATTTATTTAAATAATCTTTTGATCATATATTATTTTATCCTATATGAAAACGTGTATATGAAAATAATTAATGCATCTATTTAAAAAGTTTCTAAAAATGGTATGCATTAAATGTTTCCTAAATTTTTGTCTACTAGTTTTAGTAAATGGTAATTCTTATTATATATGTAGATTTTGAACATTTTTTCAAAAATAATATATATTTTAGTATTTTAGTATTTTTATTTACCATATTAATGAAGTTGAGATTCACATAGAACTCAAACACTACTCCACAATAATATTATTTCAAATTAATGTACACTTCTCAATTTTCATGATGATGGATAATTTTATTTGAACTTAATGTAATATAAACATAGAACCCAACATTTAATTACAATAACAGTTTTAATATTATTTGTCCGTGCATCGCATGAGAGACTAGGTAGTGTTTGTTTATAGAAATTTTTGGATTTGTTTGGGTTTTATGTTTGATTTGATTAATTTTAAAAAATGTTGTATGATTAGTTGTTAATGAGTATATCACAATAATATTTAAAATAAAATATTTAAAATTGATTTGATGTAAATGTAGGAGAGATATGGTTTGAAGTGATGGTTAGTTAAAATAATGCGAGTGGATGAATAGTGAATTAATGGTTTTATGGTGTATGAATAATTGTTTGATATTATTTAATTATATTGATAAATTTGATGATAGTGAAGTTAAGTTAAATTTGAGTTAAAAAAATTGTTGAGTTAAAAAGTTGGATTTTTTTAATTTTTTTTTTCTAAATTTCCATAACCAACTAGTCACTTAGGGTGTGTTTGTTAAAGGAAAAAACTCAAACAAAATTAATTCTACTCGAAATCTAAATTTCAATTTTAATTCAAACTCACTATCCTCAATATTATCAATACTGGTACGTACCCCATTCGATGCATGAGATAAAGATATAAAATGAACTATTTTTACAGGCTCTGTTCGTTTAAGTCTAAAATTCAATAGGATTATTGTTTATTTTTCACAAATTTTAATCAACGTATTAATTCTAAAAACAAATATGGTTATAATCTATTTTACACATCTTTTAATCTTCGTTCTTTAGCCAAAACATTAAATACGAGCATATCAAGGCTACCTTGTAAAATAATTAATATATTATCTCACTAACTCATTTATACTAATATAAATATGATTTTAGTATATATATTTATTTATTGATATAAGAAAAAATAACAGTTTTATTTATTCTTGTTCACTATATAATGCTTAATTATTATTTTATTATAAACTTTGTTGTCAT